ACAACAAAAAAAAAAAAAAACTACTGCTCGCTGCACTAATAGGAAAGCCACCCAACAAACAAGATCTCTCTTTCTTTCTCTCTCTAAAACCTTCCCTTTCTTTTTATCTTCTTCTGCTACAATTTCAGAGATTTTGACCCCACCTTCTCTCAACTCATATAACACCCGCATAGATATCTTCTTAGATTGCCCCTTTCTCCACTTCTAAATCTTTTCGTCTTCTTTCTTTTATTTTTTTTTCTGTTTTCTTTTCATTAAAAATCTTAACTTTTACTCTTATATATATGTTTTATGTTTACAAAGATTGAGTTTTTAACAATCAAAGGAAACATCTTTAGGCATATAATTTTGTTATTATCATTGTCATTGTGGCTACCACAAGAAGGCAGCTACCTTCAGACTCTGGAGCCTTTGCCGATTGGGCGACGTCATCGTCCACAGCAATCCGAGCTGGCCCCGATGACCTATCCCTCGGCTTTAATGCGAATGCTGCCGCCGCGGCTGCTGCTCCTGGATCCACCACCGCCCAATGGCCACCCTCATCTCGTCAAATCAACTACGGACTTCCCCATGAAATGGGGATGGTTGGTCTCCGCGATGTCTTCGTTGTTGCTCCAGCTTCTTCTTTTAACCATCACCACCACCATCATCACCACCATACTCAAGATCCCATCATGGCAAATGATCAAATCAACGGTCAAAATGCTTCTACGGCACTTGGCGTCGGTGTTGGCGTCGGTGTTATCCCTCTTCTTACAGCAACTCCGTGTTTAGCTCCACAGAATATGGAAGATTCTGATTTGTTGAGTAACAATGGTCGTAATAAACTTAGTGGGATGCAGTTATGGCAGAATCAAAATTCTTCTTCTCATTATCTTAAAAAACCATCATCAGTTCCTGATAACAATAATTCTTCTTCTATGAATTTGATACAAAGCAGCGGTGGCGGTGGGATGGGAGGTGGGAGTGGCGGTTCGGGTTCAAGCTCAGGGGCCACGTGTCAAGATTGTGGGAACCAAGCCAAGAAAGACTGTACTCATAGGAGATGTAGAACATGTTGTAAAAGTCGGGGTTTTGATTGCCCTACTCACGTGAAGAGCACGTGGGTACCTGCTGCTAGGAGAAGAGAGCGTATGCTCATGGTGGCCGCAGCTACTGCTGGAGCTGGCTCATCAGGGTCGACTTCTGGGGCTAAGAAACCTAGACTGATAACTTCACAGACTACAACAACTTCTCATACATCAACTTCAAATACTACCCCTCCTAGGAGCTTTGACACTAGCTCAAGTCACCAAGGTATGTTTTGTTTCTCCTTTGGTTGGTGTTTCTGTATTTCTGTGTTTTTTATTTTTGTTTTTTATGTGATGGAGCATGGAAAGATTGGTATTTGCTAGGGTTGTTTTCGGAGGGTGAAGTTTGAGTAGGGTTTTTTTTTGCTGAATTTTGCACATTGCAGATGCAGGTTTTAAAGAGTCATTGCCGGGGCAAGTACGTGCACCGGCGGTATTCAAGTGTGTAAGAGTGACAGCAGTGGAGGATGGTGAGGATGAGTATGCATATCAAGCAGTTGTTAAGATTGGTGGACATGTGTTCAAGGGGTTTCTTTATGACCAAGGAGTTGAAGGAAGAGAGGGGTTTCCTAATATATCCGAATTGCATTTAGGTGGTGGCGGCGGCGCCGGTGGTGGTGGTGGAGGGAGTGGGAGAAATGGGGGATCATCGTCGTCTCCAGTTCTTGATCCTTCTGAGGTTTATGCAGCCACTGGAGGTGGCTTGCTTGCTGGTTCAAGTTATGGTAATCCAATAAACTGAGATCATCTTCCGAGTAAAAGGTAGTGGATTGACTGAATCGGGGGGATGGCATTGTAGTCTATTTCCTATTTCTGCTACCTGCTAATTATTCATAGGGTTTTGGTAAATTCTTCTTTTGTAGACTTGTATCCTTATTAACATATGTTCTTTTCTCTTGCTTTCAACTGTCTTTGGCTTTGATTTTTCTCATTTTTCATGTTCGTTTTGCCTTTGTGAAATTGCACTGAGAAGGTCATAATAATCATCATCTTGTCAACGAGGCTACATTTTCTTACTCTATTAGGATATGTGTTGTACCAAATTACAAATCATAGAAAATAAAGGTAAGAAGAGGAAATCCTGTACTAGTAGACAAATATTAGTTCTTCAAAATTTGTGATGATAAAAACCTGTTTGCTTTCTTGAAGTTGTTGCCTTTTCTTTTCTTTCCTTATTCCTTTTGTTAATTAGAGTTGTGTTTGGCAAAGGTGAAATCTACAGTGTAAAGTACTTTTCATCATCTAAACACTTGAAGCTATGAACCTGACTTTATGTGTATTTACACACTATTTTGCTCGTGCTAAGCTTGAGTCATAAATTTCTTATGACAAATTTCTCCATCAATAAATCATATTATCTGTTTTTCTTCTCTCATTTGAATCATTTCTGATCACAGCCTTCATTATGGGATGTAACATAATATTCCAGTAACTCTCAGTTCTGCTGGTTGAGTAATGAACCCGAAGTAAATGTGGAATTCATGATTATCGTGCTTCTTTAGACTTTAGTTTGAGAAGTAGTTGTTGTGTCACCATCATTCATTGCCTAAGAAGAAAGAGCATTACATGGATGTCGCTGTCGGCCCACTTTACTGCTGTGGCATTTCTGCAATGTGGACAAGCCTGCAATTGCTTGTATTCATGAATGCTTGATGTACTTGCTTCTTCTGTCATCCTGGTATGAGAAATGTCCTCTACCGAAATTTCAACTTTAGGCTTGTATCTAATCCTTGTATGTTATATTTTAATCTTTGAATAACCTTTTTTTCTTGGTAGAATATTAATGCTGAATTCTGCACCCATTGCCCCACCTGTTCCAGGAGACATTGATTATGTACTTCCATGCACTATAGGTTTTGATGAAGTGAATTTGCTAATATAGCTATTCTTACATTTTGATTTAATTGAATATTTGTTTGCTTTTTGGTGAAAGAGAACTATGCAATGTATTGGATATTTGTGCAATATCCTATCAGTTTGTGGGTTTTCTTCTGGCTCACTTGTGCAAACCAGGACAATAGATGTCGGAGATGTCGTTTGGCTTCTAATGGTACTTTATTCCTTAAGATGCTGCAAATATATGTAATTCATCCTTTTGGCTATGATCTGGTGTATAATGTTGACTAATGTGGATTAAAATAAGAAGAGGCATGTATTTAAAATTGTTGTTTGTCTCTTACTTTCGGCCCATTGGCATGTTGTCCCCCTTTTGATGTCTGCATATATTATAGTAATAGGTGGATTTCATCATGTAGATTGCATTATCACTCTTTCTTTCTATATTTGCCTGTATTTTATGCTACTAATCTAAAATGCTGCGGGCTGCATGTAAACCATGTATGCTGAGAAAACAGTCTCAATTGTTTGTTTGCAGCACTTAGCTTTATCAGACACCAAATATCTATGACACATGACGGTATCCACCTCCACTTTTATTTTGTTTTTTGGTTCTTTTGGAAATCTAGGGTATATTTCATATTTATGCTGGGAACCGACCTATGACATACTTGATCCATTTTACTTTCTTTGGACATATGACTCTCAAGCTGAAGTATCCATAAAGAAGGAATTACTGCTTTAGAAAGACAGAAAAAATAACAATGTATTTCTTATTGGTTATAGGTTTAAGATGTATATATAATGAATTAGTTTGTTTCTTGTAGATGATGAAGATGCTGAGAGTGTGAAAGGTTTTGCAATTTAGATAATTTATTGCTTGGTTTTGCACTATGCAGATGTACATTGAATTTTGCTATTAAATATCTTCATGGGATGTGCAATTGATTTACAACTGCTTCGACTAAATAATTGCATCTTTTAAATTTTCATGACTTATCAGCTGTGATAGAGATTGGAATCAATCTTTACCAAAATTTGTGTGTTGTTAAATACTGATAATCTAGTTAGTGTGGCCATGTTGAACTATTTCTGACAAGATCTTCACTGCTACTGAAGCATTGAGAAGAAATTTCCCTTTTATATCTTCCTCTCAGATTTCTTTTTTTTGTAGGAGTCGTCGTCTTTTCATGCTTCTGCACGTAGAAAACTCTAAAAATCAGCTTGTATTTGATCAATTTCTGGTAAGTTTATTTATTGTTCAATGCTGAAAGCATTGAGAAGGGCTTCCATTTTATCTTCCTCAAAAATTTTTAAATGGTTCAGGCTAATATTCTTTTGTCTCCATGCTACTGCATATAGAAAGAGAATGGCTTCCAAAAACTCGTGCTAAAGCTTACAAGTTAATTAAAAAGAGTGTATATCATTATAGTCACCATCTTTTAAAGGTTGAGATGACAAAAGCAAGAGAATTCAGAGTTTTTCCACCATTAAATGCATAAGTAAAAACTATTGGAGGTACTTAGCTTCCAGCAGTAGCATCAAATTAAAGCTTGTATATATGAGGATGTGCTTTTGTGTGTATTCACCCTTCTAGCTTCAACTGATCTTTATTTGGCCTCCTCTTTTCCTCATTTTTCTCTACGTGTCTGTTTGTCTGTTGTTTTTGTTGGCATGCAACTAGTTATCTGTATCTGACATTATTATGATTGGGTGCAAATTGATCTTGAGCTTTAATTTGTATATTGTAAATGAATTTGTGCATGAACACAGCAGACAGCACATGATGTTGGGAGTATCTGCTTCATTTCAACCTGCTGATTGATGAGTGACACAATTTAAATTGTTTGGTGATGTAAAATTAATTAATTGCTCATCTCACATGCAAACAGTCTTTTTGTTGCCCACTCATATAAAAATGATAAGTTTAGAAGTGTTGGAATCTGCAATGTTTCTGATGAATATAAAAAATCAACATGTGGTCTGCATTAAACACCCTTTGTCTCTAGTTGGAATCTTAACAGCATGACAACCCGCATTGCCTTATTATTAATGTGCATCCCTGATTTGTTTCTTCGTGATTGTAAGATGATTTCGTTTTTCTGCTTACGGGGAAAGTCTACTTTCATCTTGGCATAATCTTGTTTGAATAACCAAAAATTACTAGAAAGCTACACGATTCAAGGAAATTCTACTCAAACCACTTGGTGCATTGTATGCTGAGCTTAAGAGTCTGGTCAATCCCACAAATGGTTAAAACTTTTTAAGTTAAATATGTTTACTTAGCACGTGGACCAGGTCTGCCTGACTAAGCATCTAGCTTAAATAGTGATGATTGATTGTTTATTATTGTTATTATGTAGCTATAAGCTATCTAAAAGTCAATATGCAAAAATGTTCCCAGTTACTACTGATATATCTGCAATCCGCAAGATTGTTTCAGCAAGTGCAGTTACTCGAGTCTTATGGCCAATCGTTTGCTGCAGTAGTTCTCTGTAAAGCATTCTAGACGTGCACTTTACATCTTGTGAGGGCAACTTACATGTATGACTGTAGAATCCCATCTTCAAATCTCATGCTCTTTAGAGCATGAATGTTGTTTTTCAGTATAATAGGAAGGGTAGCATGATTATCTGTAATTACTTCTTGAAATGCCCTATAATGGAAAGATAAGTTGAACATATGGGAATAGAGAGCCTGTTTTATAAATATGTAGGTGATAGATAAAATGTTTTTGCTGCAAGTAGGGTTTGAATGTTGTAAATGGTATTGGCTTGAACCAAGCTACTGACCTATTATACCCTTGAAGGATATGGGGAAGAATTTTCTTCTAAATGCTGTGTAATTCTCAAGTAATGGTCATAATAACTTGTCTTTGAAGTCGATTATAACTGATGGAAATATAAGCTATCATGGTGCCTTTGCAAATTGGAGTATGTTCAGAGTATGATGGCATGTGGCATGTGAAAATCAAGTTACCGCCGGTTAAAGTTTTCTTGTAATTAATGCATATGATAGATAATTTGGGAAGCTGCAAGCTCGATAGAATGAATGGTAATTATCTGATAAACAGTTGTCAATGACTCATATTGTTAATTAACAAAGCCCTTGGCGACGTCTTACAAAGGTCAGTGGGGGATAGCGTAAGTAATAATGTTTCTTCATGTACCAGAAACCATCTTAACAACTTGGCAGTGCTTGTGACTTGTAAGCTGTGATGAATCTTAATTTGGCTGCTTTTTTTTTTTTCTTCTTTTCTTTTCCTTTGCTTTTTCCAGCAGCCTTCAATCTTTTTAGTGCCAAAGGGCGGGGTTGATGGTACGAAGGGTTATTTTCCCACGTCAAGGGACAAAAATTAAAGCTCTCATTTTTCAAAGGGACAGTTTCCACAAGTAGCTGTGAACTTCATTTTACCTTTCGATGCCAATTGAGGGTGAAGGTGAAGGGAGGTGATTTTGGTACAAGGGTTTCAGATGCAACACCAATAAACAAATAAATGTGATCGTGTTTTTCCAAAGTGAGAATCTGTACAATTGGCGTGGTTTGTGGGGTTGGCCGTGTTTGTTCTTGCCCGATTTGAATGCAACCTGTCAACTAATCCTTCTTCCTCTCTCTCGTCTATAGTAGAGCCACAACCATTCCCTCCCCTTAAAGCTTCAACTAACACAAAAATCATTGCACCAGCAGGCCTTTGTTCTTACGTTTTATGCCTTATTCTTTGTCATTTTGTCCTATGTTAGCATGCACATGTCTCAGGCACATGAGGCAATTCCTGGCTAGTTAGCAATGTTAAGACATTTTCATATAAATAACATTCTCCAGCTACATATGCAGTAACTGTATGGTTGATTAGAGAGGAATAATAATAATAATAATAATAATGTTTAAAATAGGAGTTAAAATAGTTTTAATGTTTTTCTGAAAAGGGGAAAAAGAAGAGACAAGACAGACTTGGAGAGAACCTTTTTTTTCTCCTTTATGATGGGGCCTGGGAAGAGGAGGACGAAGACTTTGGTGTTGGGAGTGCTTCTTTTAGATGGGAAAAGTGATGGCAGCATCAATTGGGCAGCTGACCACAATGTTGTCTTCGCACCCACTGATTCCTTGCCATTTTTTGTTCATGTGCTTCTAAAGACGACGAATTCCGCTTTCTTTTTCCCCTTGTTTTTGCTTCATATTAGGATTGGAATATCCTCTCTTTTCAATGCCGTAAGCTAATCAAAATTTACTAGTTACAGATTTGACAACATTGGAAGCTTGCAATTTACACTTATTTGATATGCGATGCTGTCATTTTCTTTTGATTTTTAGTATACACATAACTATATTCTCAATTTGATATGTTCGAAGAACAAAAAATATTATGTAAATATTTATTCAAACTTTGAATGATATTTTTTATATATATATATATATATAAATAAATGATTTTTAGCATTGCAGGATTCTTTATATATAATTGTCATTGCGTGGAACATTATTCATTGTCCCATCACCAAACATAAAATATTTGAGAGATAACAATGTCATAATTAATGGTGGGTTCTTCTTACACTTTTTAACACACCAAGTAAGAAACTAAGCCGAAATCATTAATTTGCTCTAAAACCATGATTATCGACTCAACTAATTAATTAAAGTGTTGCTGCATGCCCGAAATTATGGCTGAAGTAGTTTTCCAATGGTTTGGTTAGGATAGTGTGATATTATGTTGAATTATGCTGGATTTGTTACCAAGTTATAGAGTATGAACAAAAAGATGTAGGGAAAAGAATATGATTAGTGAGAGATAAATAATAGATAATGTTCCTGCTAAGCTAAGCATAAACTTCATACTTAATTGTCTCAATGCATGCTTACTCAGCGTATGGAGAAAATGGCAATTATAGAGGGATCAGTTTGGCATTCAAACCTTATATTGTGTTTATTTATTTATTTTTATTAAAGGAATAACAACTGTCAAGTATCATTTTTGAGCTCTAGGTAGCCTTAGCTTTGAAGAAAGGAACTATCTCATTGTGAAAGGTGTAGTGGTGGAAGGAGAAGAGTAGGCAAATGAATACCCCCTCAAAAGCCAAGTCCTTTTTCCATTATTCCTCCCATATTTTTATAACATCGAGAGGACTAGTACTAATTAAGAAATGAGCAAATCAAGGGGGGGAAAACTCTTTGGCCAATGCAGTGGGCAAAGGTTGGTGGCCTTTGCTCCTTATATATTAATTAATTTAGATAAAAAAAAAGGGGTTTTGGACACAACATTAATTCAAAAGTCTCTTTTGGTGATGCGATGATGCTGCTGCTATTAACTCATTTCCAGTACTCACATAAACAAAAGAAAAAAAAGTAAATATTGCAAAAACTTCGATTATTATTATTATTATTATCTGGCTACTTGGGATTTTTGTTGCTCAATGCACTAGAAATGCCATCTCTCTTCTCTTTGCAAGTAGACCTGGGGCTTTGGTTATTAGCATCATATTCATACCCTTGTTCTCTGCTACCAAAAGTTATCACAGAAACTACTTTTAAAAGCAGTCAAAAGATGAAGATGCATAACTGGGGAGGGGGAATCCACCACTCCAATTTTAAACTCAAGTGATCTGGAAGTTGATGGCTTTACTTTGAGAAGGATGTGACCTCCTCTGACAAGTTAACAGCTATATTACCACTACCCCAAGAAAAACGTGATTAGTTTCTTTCTGGGTGCATATGCCATTTAGCATTGCCCATCACTCATTATCGTTTAGGTTCTCCTTGGTGCAATCCACTGCTGGACTGCCATATTACTTAAAACAACCATTTTTTTTTTGGGTGAAACGTCATGTCATAGCTTAACTACTTCATATTACGAATGATGCAACTATTAATAGCTCAACAAGTTAAACATCCTCCTGCTGAGATTCCAGGACAATAGAATGTAATTCCAGGAAAAATAACAATAATTTATGGCAAGAAAAGAAATTGATTCGCAAGATTCCATGGTCGTTTCAAATAACAGTAGCACACCTAAACCTTTTCTTTTCATAAAGTGGGAAGGATTTCAACATAGCCCAATAAACTAAAAAGGTAGATAATGGTTGGGGTGCAATCATGAATCCTTTCCACAACATGAAAGAATGACACCTCAAGGACGCTCAATTCCACTAGAATAATCCCCTCTACGTGCCCAAATAACAAGAAACATACAACTGTTGCTCGTTGACAAATGTTTAGGCAAATAGAATGAGGAGGTTATTATTACTTGAGATGCAGAAAACAGTACCTTCAAGCCCAACCTTTACAACTACTATTATTATTTGTAATGGCTAATCAATGAAAAGCTCCCCAACATAAGAAAAAAATATATTATCACCAAGACCAGTCTGATGCTGCGTAAGTCTGTTTTTTGATTACTATGATGCCACAATAAAGCCACAAACAAGGGAAAGTTATTTTGTTAATGAATCTGGGAAAGGGTGAGAAATGAGGATCTTTTCTACACTTTATTCCTCCATGAGCATCACTCAATTTTTGCTAAGCATAATGGGATGCTTCTTGTGCTAAAGGGCAAGACAAAGTTCTTGTTAAAACATAGGTCTTTCATATCAAAGAACTACTAAGCATTAAGTAATTCGGCAAAGTCAGAAGACAGCCACTATGACTATCACCAAATTTTTTTACCATCAGGGACTGGATCGGGAAGAAACTTATATTGTAAACTAAACTAACTCATAAATTTGTATAAGCAAAGATACATACTTTTCAAACTATAAACGGTTGCTTCCAATATGAAGGTCCAATATTAGGAAACATTGATACCAGTAAGCTCCAATTCTGCACTTGTAACATTAATTGCATTTATAACATCCATCTTTCCCATGCTCACAGCTTCATCAATTGGAGTCCGCTCATGGCTGCTCATCAACCAGTTCCACAAATAATCATTTATTTGAAAGGAGAAAAAAGAAATTCAAACAAAGAATTATTAGACTCAAAATTGACATCATAAATAACTCACATATTTAGAAGGCTTACATTTGCTCCTGATAAAACCAATTTCTTGACTACCTGTCACCATCATTTATAGAAGAGTTCAAACATTGAATAAGAATAGCTAAAGTGACAAACTACAGCAAACAGAAGCTGCAACAATTACCTCAACATGACCATTGAGACAAGCCCAATGAAGAGGGGTATTCTTCTCCACGTTAGAAGCATTAACATCCTGATCATGTAGAGGCTTCAAATTTAAACAAGATGTTCCACAAAATATAACTAATAAACTCTGAAATACAATAAAGGCAGCTCTTAAAAGTAGTATAATTTTTGCAGGCTTTAGCAACAATTATAGAAGTCAAAATACTGAATTATCTAAGCTCATGTAAATACAAGGAAAAGAACTGTTGCCATTCATGCAAAGAAGAAATTTTAGTTGGGACTGGCGTCCCAGATACTCCAGGGAGAGGTCGTTGGTATATTGCCACACAAAATTTAAAAGCTTCACAGCAGAGTGACTACAACTAACACTAACTGGTTTTATGTTTTACCATTTAGAAGAAAAAAAACCTTTAATACTACAGCACATGAATATTGACCATCTATAGAGAGGATTCTTATCATGAATCTACATAGGCACCTGATAAAAATTGACAATCAATCGTAAAATTCTAACTGTAGCAAATATGGTTCCCAATAAACAGTGTTCACAATTAATCACACTTTGAAGAACATTAACCTCTATATAAATTAATCCTTAAATATTCATCTTCTATCCCACATCACCTCACTCTTATGCCAACTACTTGAATTGGAGAACAATCTTCAATCCAATTTAACCACATAATAATTAACTTCTCTCATCTCATTACCCTATTGATATTTGAAAGAGGCATAAAAGTTATTAATTAGAAAGCTACGATGATCTTAGAAAGAATGAATGATTTTCCTTTGGACAAATGTCGCCAAA